GAAACATAAATAGCTAACAGAAGCGATAGCAAGACAAGTGTCCAGAAAAGTAAATAAATTAGAATATAAGAATTTTATTAAAAAAATAGTGTATTAACGTAAGCTTTAATTCAGGTTAAAAGAAGCATAGCAAAGAACTGTGACAAGCTGCAGTCCTCCCCTATCACACCAAAGTTAAGTCCTTCACTTACGTATCAGGCTAAAAAAAGCATCCCTCTTCAGCAAAGGCAAAAAACAATAGTGGGGAGGGGAGGAAGCAAAGAGGTCACAGCTCTAGCAAACGCCTTCAGGACACACTTGCATCCTTGATATCAGAACAATAGAATACAACATACTGAAAGATTTTATCAAATTTTAAAGTATTTTTGCTGGTATGAAAGTCCCAGACATGTAGCTCCCACCCCTTCCCTAACCTAGAGGTCCTCAACCTTCTTTCTTCTCACAGTCCAGATCCCATTTATATCTCCCATCCCAAGAGGGCTGGTTTGCCTTTCATCCTATGCGTAAGACAGGCAAGCAAATCCATATCTCATCCTGGTTTTGGAGGGAGGGGTTCTGAGAAGGCTGTGCCCTTCTCTCTCCCTTCAGGCCCATGTGGCTTCTTTCAGCATCCAATGCAGAGGGGAGATGGCAGACTCACACACTGCTGCAGCTACAGCTGAACCTGCATGGGACACCAAGCTACTGAAGTAGGTGCTCCTCTGCAGAAATATGGCCTTTACAACAAAGCAGAAAGGCAAGTCTGTGAGTCTAAGCAGACCATCGATTCCTTGACTGGTACAGGAGCAGAAGAGCTTTACCCTGAGTCTCTCCCCAACCCAGTTTCTGGGGGTACAAAACCAGCATGGCTAGTGGTTTGCACGAAGTTCCTCTCTCCCCTGTGCTGCAGGCTGCGATGGGGAACCAGCCTGCAGCAACGCGGGGGTCAGGAAGGCTGTGAGCGTGTGGAGTCCCCACCACTGGGCTCCCACTTTTCTCCCAACCACAGCTGCTCTTGCCCCCTTGAGCTCTACAGATGCCTGGGAACAGGGTAGCGCTCATGGCAGCAGATGCAGGCAGAAATACACACTGCACCAGCGCTCTCTTGACTAAGGCCTGGCATAGTCAAATTTATCAGCTATGGTCTACAGGAACCCACCAGGCTGCAGAACACGATGCCCCACAGCAGAGCTCATCCTCCTTTGCCATGGCAGCAGAGAGCTCTCCTAGCAAGATGTGCTTGCCGAGGGGTGGTAATTGCCTGAATTTGGGCAAGTTAGCAGCCATATGGAAAGCAAGCCAACACCCAGGAGAAGTGTGAAGGATCAAAATCAGATCCCACAAGGAGACTTACGATACAGCTCTCACCTCCACTGCTTTCCTCCCCTAAAAACCTGTGTTAAGCTGAACACCAATGGTTCGGACCCCAAAGAAGAGGAGAGTACGATACAGAATGGCACTGCTTCACAAGCCTTACAGGCAGCACGAGCTGGCCTCAAGTGCAGGTGGTCAGTAACACAGCTGATACAATGAGTTAAAATAGCATATTTAAATGTTGGCCCTAATGGGCTACTCACAAAATTTACAGCGGAAACCACCCATCTGAGCTCCTAAGCCATCTCACCACAAAGTCACTATCCCTGTTTGCCTTCCACATCGCAAAAACATTCATCAAATGGCAAGTGGCTCAAGACCAAGTTCAATGGGCATGCACACACAAAAACAGGGTTTGCAGAAATGTTAAAAATTTGTCATGGTCCTCTGCCCTGATTTTGTATTGATCAAATGCTGAGCTAATGTAAGAACAGGACCCCGTGGCAAGCTTCTAGTCATGAAGTAAAGTTCATATAAGGAAAAGATGTGAAAAAAACTTGTCTTAATGACATAGCAGAGATTAGTGAGAGTGATTATCTCCTGAGGAATACATGTGAACTGGCTCTACACATTTTGCAACAGATTGAAGAAATCCTTTACAAAATATTGGTAAGAGAATACACTTTCACATGGTGCCACACTTTTTGGGTTTCACATCCTTTACTAATTTATCCTGAATCTACCACCTTATTTGTACCTGAATGTTTACCAAAAGACTCAAAACCATCTACTGGCAAATAACTTGCCCTAAAAATATCAGTTCCCAACGTTTCATCATGTGCTGGAGCTTGGATGTCCCCCTGTATGAATGCACAATGACTTTAATGAAAGTAAAGGCAGGATCAGTAGATAAATACTAGTAATCATGTTTATCATGCATTACAACAAAAAGCAGCTTGATGTAGCAGCTGTTTTCCATCCAATATTAAACACACAGAAGTGGTGAACTGTTGCAAAAATTTAATAAATTAAATTAAACCTATTCTAAGTTTGTAGCTCCACATTATTCTCTTTCAGAGGCTTTAGGATTTGGGGGGGTTAAGAGGCACTAATCTTTTTACCTTTTTTGTTTGCTCATTGGAAAACTGTAGATAGACAGAAACTTTGCATAAAAGGTTTATCTGCTGAGTACAACCTTTGCAGGTGGAGAAGCACCTTGGCTCCAGCATTTTGAGGGGGTTGGGAGCCATAACAATCTCCTCTTTTTGGGGTGCAACACAGAGATATTCTTACCAAATTATTTCAACGCAAACATTTATTTTTGTATCTTGATTTAATTCCCAATCACCATGTTAACTTTGTTTGCCACCACCAGGACTCCATAGGTTCTTAGACTAAAACCTCAGCACTAGCCCTTCCCTCTATAAAAACAATCCATGAAGTAAAATATTCTCCTGTACAGTACCCTCCCTCCCATTAGTACTAGTCTATAGTTTCTGCATGTTTTACAGAATGTATCATGAAGGTACAAGCAGGAGCTGAGAGCTTTATGTCTAGGAGCGGAAGACTGCTGACGCACAAAATAAAAATAAAGGGAAAATATAAAATAAAATATTAAAATAGAACCCCTTACAGCTTCATAAGCCTTTAGCTTTATTTAAACAAAATACTTGGCTGATGGATCTCCATTTTACAGCACTTTTCTACCCCAAAGCAGAAGACAGTGAGGCAGGACTTGCTATCCTTTATATGCCTTTGCAGAAACTCCAGCTGCAGAGCAAGAAAAGGTCAAACTTTGGCAGGTTGACTTTTTAAATGACTCTGGATTGGAGGAGAGGCAGGGGGACAGAGGCTGTGCACGCAACCACGCAGACACGCGCGGACCCGAATGGTCTGACCCAACCCATCCTGAAATTTTTGGCAGAGCCGCTCGGACATGCCGTGACAGACCCAATAGATAAACAAGAGTGTGTTGAGGCTGTCGTCGGGGCTTTCATCTGCGAGGGGAATCTGCTCCGCTTCATCTCACCAGCAGGAATTCATTTTTCAAAAGAAATGAGACAGAGGCACTGTTGTTATAGCAACAGCCGAGCCACTTGCCGGCCCATCCTCCACCGCTGAGCTGCCTTTGGTGGGCGGCTGTTCCAGTCATCCATGGGGAGTGACTGGGGCTGTGGCAGCAGACTAGTCCTTTCATTGCTCCTTAAAGAAGAGGAAAATAGAGGCGGGGGGGGGGGGGGGGGGGGGTGGGAAAGAGGTGGAGAAGCCGAGAGGCTAAATTCCCTCTTTGCCAGCAGAGGCTGAGTACTGTTCACAGGGTGTAACACAGGTCCACTCCTGCTCAGTGAGCCCACAGCCAAGGAGGCTTAGGGTCCCTTTTATGGATGCTTTTGTGTACCAGCTACATAGTGGACGTGTTGCCTCTGACTTTCCTCTAACTAAGGCAGTTCCAGCCACTTCAGTACAAGGCAAGAGCAGCAACTGCGAGAGGTCTGGCGTGCTCGTTCCCCAGCTCTACTGGAAAATGCCCTGCTCTGTAGATGTCTTTGCTACCCATGGGAAAGCAGAGAAACTTGCCAAAGCTCAAAGTCCATCTTCCTCAGAGAATATGCATGTTTACAAACAACAAGGGTTATCATCTTCTCCACATGCTCTTCTGTGACCGTTTCTGTTAAAACCTGATCTTTTCCATTCTTCATGGTGAATCAGTCTGGCCCACTTGCTCAAATGGCCTTCAATTGCAATAACTCAGTCTTGGCCCTTTCTCCCGGGCTTTGACTCTCCCTTGCATCAGTCTATCTGGCTTTGCACTTCTTCCAGATGTCCCTAAGCTCACCCCACCTTTCTTCTCTCTTCTGATCCCAGAGCTTCTCCAGACAGATTTCGATGATTTTGATACCTCCCACCTCCAACAGGAGTGCTTTCCATGAGCTCTGCCAAACACCAGCCCAATTCAGCAGTCTCCATCCTGCACCCTGAAGACCGAGTCAAGTTTGCTCCTTAACATCTCGTGCTACACTCAAATCCTACCAACAGTTTAGGAGGTGCCCCAGGGGTGGCTGTGAGGTGACACTAAGCAAGTGGATTTGACATGACAAGCTCCTCTAAGCAAAGACATAATGACCGTAACCACCATCTGAGATCAGAAAGGAATAATCAGCATTGCCACTTGCATGCCAGCAATTCACCTTCAGCATTCGAAAGGATTCCTCATTTCTTGCACATCCTTCCTTGCTGCATCATCTCTGAGACTGCCATTCAAAAGTCAATGCCAAAGAATGCTGCTGCCTGAGGTACAGCCACCACTCGTCACCAGTGTTTGAAGTCTGTCAGCTCAACAGAGGCCTCCTAATACCACTTGCTGCAGGTGTCCCACAGAGATGGTGGGAAGCACAGGACAGCCTTGCAAAAACCCCGTTGTGGCTGAACTCAGACAAGTGGCTAAGTGAAGTAGAGGTGGGTAACAATATCACCATTTCTGACAAATGAAAATACTTCATGCATCAAACCACGCCCCTACTACTTGAATTTCCTCATGCTGCTGGAAAGCACGGCACCAATGCTTGCTAACTCACAGGATGAAGC